GTTGAACAAACATTAGGTCTAATGTACCGTTTCGATGTAATTTGGCGTTTCAAATATTTTCGAAATCAAATATGACACCAACATGCGGTATTCGTCACCTATTTAAGCATAAAAACTATCGTACGCATATTTTATTTGATAAGTTTCATAAAGGAAAATTGCAATATCGATATTAAAAGAGCTATGAAACATCAGCCTTAAGGAGGTTTATCTGATTTGGAATTGACGAACAAATATTCATAAAAAAAATTAATATAAGCTTATTAATATGAAGAAAATCCTCAAAAAAAATTATGAGTAGTTTGGATACCTAAGAGACGAGAGAAAAATAATTTTTCACGATTTAGTACAGGTTTATGAGAATGCAGATTTAGAATGCGCAACAATTGACGAACAGTTTCCACAGCAACTTGTATAAATAGGAAGCCGATATCTAAGGAACCGCATGACAGCTTGTAGAAATTGGTTACGTACTTGTAATAATTTACAATAATTCTTCTTCAAACTGCTGTCGTTGACTAACTTATCCTCCATATGCGTGATAGCGGCAACAGCGCGGTCGCGATGTAGCGTATTATTTGAAATTCGCAGGTGTCCAAACAAACAGAATGATCGAACGGAAGCGAGCAAACGCCAAGCCAAATCTAAAGGCTTTCTACTTTAGTCACTAGCGAATCTACAGAAATTTCGTTAGACTTTAGACGGACCTCCGTACCCGATAAACGTCCTTAAACGGAACACCCTGTATAATTCTGTATGTTACTTCTAAAAAGTCTTGTGTCTTAACTTATTAAATTTGTTGAGAGCTCTATTGGTCAGACAATAGAAAATTTTTACACCAAAGATTTTTTTGATTTACATTTTTTAAGTTACATTTTATTTAAAATTAGGCAAAATCAGGCAAAAAAAAATTCTTTGTGAAATGAATAATTTTCGTTATTTTAAATTTATCCAATCGCAATTAAATACACTTTTTCAATTTAATTTTTTATTAATCCAAAATGCTTAGTGTCATCCAAATTTTGGAGTTTCTATGACAGAGTATCTCATATCTCTGCTACTAGCTGACAGAAATACCAGTTCAGTGAACTTTCATCTTTAGTTAATTCTGTTATTATCCCAGTATTTCATGAATCTACTACAAGTAATTTTCTCTTTATTTCCCATTTGTTTTATAGTTCTACTCTTGTCTTCCTTAAAATTTTTGTACGAAATTATTTTTCTGAGATTTTGATACATATTTCTAATTTGAAATGGTTGGTTGTAAAAACCAAAAATTCTTTTTGAAACATATTTTATTTGAAATTATAATTGAAACAATTCATTGAAAAATAAAAAGTCGTTTCGTTTTTTGAGAAATATGCCAATTAATGTAAAATTAAAAGATTTTCATGGTGGTACGAAAACCAACCGCATCGTACCCACAATGATTCGAACTACGTTAGCCTTCAGAAAACCACAATTCTTGTGAAATAGAGACATGTAATTTATTTAATTAAGCCTAATCGCTCAAGTCCGTGACTCTACTACACTCGGTGTCCAAAAAAATTTACTAAAATGACTCGCTTCCTTTAGCGTTGTGTCATTTTCATCGCAGAACAGGTGTTTGGCTACTCATTATCCATCCTCTTTTTCTACCCGGTTACAATACCAATTCCGTCGTCTTTGTTTTATTACCGAGTTAAGAGTTAAAGAAACTCGCATCTAACCCAACGTATATTTATGACAGGAAATTACACACACCCGCATTTTTATTACCGGCTCTGCCGATATGTTTCGTTAAAATGAGATGTTAGAAGATAGAAGTTCGTGTTGGGTCGCATAATGACATGTAATGGCAGACGAAACGAAAAAATAAATGGATATCAATTACGTGGTTATTTAGGTACGCAGTTGTATTTTGCCCGTAATTTGTTTATAATAGGAATTATGAGCCTAATTTTAAATTACCTTAATCGTTCTCGCTGAATTGAATTTCACTTAGATTGTCCTGTAATTCTAGGAATTAATTTTTTTGCTTCGTAACAAAATTTGACTATTTGGCGACTGTTTATTTGTTGCGATTTAAATAAAAAGTAAATTCTGATTTTAGAAGACTCGGTGTTGGGACCTTGATATAAATTAACTTATTTTGAACGATAGTATGAAAATGAAATGAAATTAGTAATAGGTGTTAAAAAACAAAAGACAAAGCGTTGATATTTAAAGTAATTACTTCCATAAAGATTGCATGGCAAAAAGTGATTGATTTGATCAAATTAATTTGTATAGTAAATTATAAATTCTTTTTGAATTCCCCAAGGACAGCAATGATTGTGTAAAAGTGATTAAATTTCTGTTTTATTAACAAAATCCTGTACAAGATTAATATTTCTTATATTGAAGTATATTTTATAACAAAATTGATATAACCTCTTCATTTGTAGAAAATGAATGAAACGAAAAATGAGTTGTTTCTAATTGTTTAAACATCAGGTGTGTCATTTTGGTGACATGTGTACTGGGATCTCGGAAACTATAAGAGATAAAAAAAACGGTTATTGAAGAAAGTTTTAGACCATTATGTTGCTGATGATATTCGCAGATCAGCTCTAACTGTTAGAAATATTTTGAAAAATGTTTTTTTTTATTATTACGAATTTACGTAAGTCTATAAAAACATAAAAACTTTACCAAAGTGACTTTTTGCTAAAAATTTACTGTGGATATAGGTTTTTGTTTCAACGTTGTTGGGGTTGCGAGAAATTATTATTTGCTTTGAAATTTTCGTTTTTTGTTTTTTCTGTACGTTATCGAATTTCTTTGTTCTTATGGTTGGACAAAATTTCTTTCCGTTTAGCATACAATTCAGTATGGTACCTAAGAAACAAGAAAGTTTCACAGGAAAACATAATGGTTGTAGGAACTTCAACGCTGAAACAAAAATCTAAGTCCACAGTATAATTATTGTAAAAACTTGTTGGGATAAAATTTTTACAGATTCTAAATTTATAAAAATAAAAATGTTTCTTTTTTCGAGTTTCGTATCTCGAAAATTAGTCGATCTGCAAGCGCTAGTAAGTTAGTAATAAGAGTGATCTAAAACTTTTTTTAACCATTTTTCTATCTCATACTGTTTCCAAGATCCAAATAGTGCATCATCGATATAGTCCATCCTGTACCTATATAAAGGACGTTGAGGAAAAAACATAAAACGATTTTTCCCCAAGTATCATGGTCTTTTATTTTTGAGACACAGGATTTCAAAGATGATTTTTAAAATCCAATTTTATGTATATTTTTTCAAAAAAAAAACAATGTATTGCGTTGAAATTTGATGATAAGGTAAGTTTTTAAGCTTACTCAATAGGTCGCTAGCTAATATCTCTTCCAATGACACTGTATGCCAACTTTTTTAAGGTTAGGTTTTTGTAGAGTTTTAATGTTTAAAATCGCTGAAACCGTACCGTTTTTGGGACTTTAAAGTTAACCAGCTTATATCTTTTAATATATAGAGTGGCTGGAAATGAATGGGCTGTATCTCAAGGGTAACTTCTTTAACTGGAAATAAACCGGTTGATATCAATTTACCTTCGTATAATCTTGCTACATTAAAAAATTTTCGATCCTTTAAAGAAATGAAATAATTTTTTGTTTCTTTTTTCTTTTGAAGATCTGTAATTTTGTTTGAAAGGCTAAGGTAACTTGATCTAAACAGTTTATTTTTATAAACTACCTTTGAAGTATGGCCCATTCATTTCTGGACATCCTATACATTAAGGAATAGAAGCTGGTTTAACTTTGGAACATCCAATCGCCTTTTGTTCAAAAACAGTTCTAGACAGCCATATAAGGAACATTTTGTCGATTCGTGTGTTCCAAAAAAAAGTCAGGGGACTGTCTTTATTCTAAGTGGAACAATAAATAAATTTTGAGGAATTAAAAGATTTAAATTTTGGCATTATATATTTTTTTCCGACAGTACTATAAATATTCCTTTACTTATTAATTTTTGTTTTGATATTAAGACGTTTTGAATGAAAATTAAAATAAATAAAAAATATTAAATAAATTTTCTATTTCTATGCGGTATTTTTCTCTATATTCTATATGTAAATAAGTTTCTGTATATTATATATGTATATACAGTACCTATCTGGTAGGTTTTTGAAAATAAAAAAGTTAAAATGTAAATATAAACGCTTGAAAGACAAGCAACCGTGTCGAGGTTTAAATAAATCTGAGCTTTTAGTGGCAATAATATGATAAACGGTCAAATTAGTAGAAAGAAATTTAAATTCCTTGTGGAGAAAAAAAAACATAGATTAACGTTAGAACATATGTAAATTATGTACGTTATTACATATGGAGCTGGCCAGCTTAAGGCAGAACAAGTGGGCAGATAATTTATCTCCAAAGAGCACTAATAAATTGTAATGGACACGCAATTGCCGATAAAAGAATCCGATAATCTTAGATCAAACAGTGTTAATTTAATTTCTCATTGAAGCATTACCGTGGATAACACGTGACTAACGCGATAATGGCCGACTATAATAATAGCTTTCCAGCATCTCTGAAAACTACGAGAGCTTACGAGCAGATAATTGCGGAATAAAAATTTAAATTAATCTGACCTTAGCGATCATAAAAGTTATTTATTATTTCAATTATTCTGGTTGTGTAATTGATTACAGTAATTTAACATATTGCTCTTCGTTCTCGACTATAAAATCGTAATTATTTTGTTTATTGCTCGGATTTGTACTGTTATTTAATTAAATATGAGTAATCGAATTAAATTAAATCAGTTTAGTGCCGTAACCGTGAACATGCCCTCTTTCGGTCGCGTAAGATTACGGAGATGCTGCATTAATTGGCCGATAATTATTGCAGTCCTTTGCCAAGGAATTCAATAAATTAATTTTATTTTATGCGGAGTAGTTATCGATTTTTCACGATATATCCGTCAGACACGCAATCTTGGAGACCTGATTAATTATAATTTCATTTCGTCTTACCTGTATCCTGGCTTCAGTTAACCCGATTTTCATTGCCAGCTCCTCTCTGAAACAAATTAGTTATTATTTTTTATGAGAACTACACAGCGTGTTAGTTTGCCAATTAAAATATATAAATGCAAAATTAAATGTATACTGTAAAAAAAATCGGTGTGAGTGGAAGGTACGTAGTGAATTCACTGAGTGAAACTGTTGAGTACATTTTCGCTCAATATTGAGCATTTTGATAATTTTACTTATTTGTGATAATATTTTAACGAAAACCGTAAAATAAATTCTGCAGATAAACTCGTATTTGGTGCAATTGTAGCTAAATCGGAGTAAATGTCCTCATTATTGAGTGACCCCACCCCATTCTATGGTTGTCGTGCGTTGTCTTTATCTATTCCCACCGTCCCCATTGGATCAACTCGTGGCGTGGTGTATGGCGTGTAATGTAGGACAAGTGTCCGTTATTCTGGTTATTTTGGTGAAAACTATGTTTAAATGCAGTGGTTAGATTACAATAATTAAAAACAATAATATATTGAATCTCGATTAATATTTAGTTAAATAAACGGATAGTTAAATTGTTACCTATACTTACTTACATATCTATAACGTACAATATAGGTTCTGACAATCTATTCGTCCGATCAGTTAACCAATTCCTTTAATCGAGACCTAAAATATTGTCTCTAAAGCAGACTTGTGTAGAAACCACTGTGGTAACTTAGTAGTTTATGACTTTAATACAATGATATTTAAATTTAAATTTAAAGAGAATATAAAGTGGTGCAAAACCACTACAGATATTAATTAAATGGAAGCAGCGGCGACTGGTGCGGGGGGCTCTGGGGCGCCACTCCCCTCAATTTCATAGCACAAAATTACTCTATAACAATAAATTTAAATCATATTAAAGAAAAAGTCAAGTCTTAATTGATTTTACATATTCAGAATAGAGTCAGAAGTCACGCACTTGGTAGTTAGCAGAAACTCGGATTTGTGTAAAATTCACTCGCTTCTGTTGCAATAGTTTCACTCATAAAATTTTAGTGAAAATTTCACTCAATTGGGTGTGGACAGAAATTGATACATGATTGAGTAAAATTGAGTGAATTTGAGTGAAACTTTTTTACAGTGTACAGAATATCTCCTTAATCATAGCGTATTTTAAATCTGTTGCACTAAACTTTCTTATATTGATATTTAATTTGTATATAACTTAGATAAGATTTATTCAAGTTTTGAGAAAATCTGAAGTATTCACAGTTCATATAATCATTATAACTTTAAATGCCAATATCTCGCTTGTTTTAAATGGAACGCTTAATACTGTACAGGGTACATTATAGGTTGGCGTTGTGCATAAGCAGCCAGCCTCTACTATTGGACACTATTGGTACTGCCAACTTTGCATCCCATGAAACCAAAATATAAGGCGTAATGAAAGTTCAAAATTTCGAATCTTTCAGTAAAAGCACTCTTTTTCTATGAATATAACATAAAAGTTTTGTATATTCTACTGGTATTCGTATCACTGAAAATGACAATTTGCATTTACTTACTTTGTTTTCTAAAGTTAATACTAAAGGGAGTAACGAAAAATTACAGGCAAAGAAACACCCTGCAGTAAAAAGCAATAAACAAAGTCTCAAAATACGGTACCTATATGCTACAAAACATCTTTAAAAAAAATACTGAAGATAATTTTAATTTGAGCCGTCCATATCGTGGAAATTCCATAATATTCCTAGTTGAGTCCTATTTTTTATTATGAGATTTGTGATTATACACAGTATGGACCTTTTTTTGCAAGTAAAACCAATTATAAAATTGCTCCTATTCTATTTGATATTTGATCAGAATATAGTTTTCATAACATAATATTTTAATCAACTTTTCATAAACAATGAAGGTAACCAAAACTGAAGTCTGTTCATTTTTATTTCAAATGCACTTAAACTTTTGTCTACGCCGTCATTGGGCGGCTCCCAGTCTCGGTTGTATGTCCGCTTTTGTTGGTCAAAGCGTAACTAAATTGGGCACAATAATGGAGAGATTATATTAATAAGTAATTTCTGTCTCTTATCAGTTTTTGTATCTAATTTTTTGGAACGGTGATATTAGGTGTCACCATCGATAAATGTGTCGTGATGTTTCGTTGTCAGCGTCTTCAGATAGTTCTATAACAGTTGCTATTTATGCTACTGGTTATTCATTTCTAGTCGATAAGTTTAATTTAAATATAACATGAAACTGTAACAGTTTAATGAATATGCTTCACTGTGTCCTAATTTCAAAGGTGTAAGGTTTGGTCGATCATAGGTAGTCATTCTGATTCCTAGATTATTTACCAGAAAGATTTTAAGTATTATTTCGATTATAGCTATTATCTTTACAGAAATAATTTAACTTGGTCAATACTCAAAGAATATTCTACTTTCTTTGATTGGATACATTGAAAAGTATGTCTTAAAGGACTTAAATACTGTTTCATCTTCCTGACAATCCTTAAACATAGCATTTCAACACACAATTCTACTTGAAAGAAGCAACTTCATGAAAAGGCTACCATTATTACACACTACGTATAGCAGCTAAATTTTGTTCAGATTTATAGATTCCTTATAGATTTCTAATTAAGATACACTTGCAATCCAGCCTTGTCAGTATAATTGCATTAAGAACTCTGTACTTTAATCACATGGAAGTACATGCTGTGAATTAGATGTCGGATAAAAATGTATTATGTCTAAATTATATAGAAAAGAATGGTTTGCGTGTCTACTAGAAATATAGATAATTTAATGGCAGCTCATAATTAGTGAAGTAATTATTAATTAAAGTAACATGTCCTGTATATATCAACTATAATAAAGTGGTATTTCCAGTTGCTTTGTATTCATGGGGCAACATTTACTTCATATGTCTAATACACTTTGATAGATATAATTAATTGAAATAATAAATTTTACTAATTGCTTGATTGCAAAAGAAAGACAAATTGTTCTTAAATTTTCAGTGAAATATTGCAATTTTGATATAAATGATATGAATGATATAAAAATATACATATGACCTTGAGAACGTTAGTTTAAGTTAAATACAGATCTCATATTTAGAATATAATAAATAGCATTAAGTATAAAAACTACTTTGGACCTATCTTAATTTGTTCAATATGGGAACGACTAAGTAACTTTTTGCAAATTGCAAGTTGCAAGTTAACTAAGTTCAATGTGTATAAACCGATGTTTGCAAAAATCTAAAAATGGTTAGAATGAGATTATTGACAGCTACTACGAGTATGTTCCTAAAAACTACCAATGATTTAAATGATGCTCTTTTACGTGAAAAATTCTACAAGCTCTTCGAACTAATTAGAAGTCATTTATGTCCAATTTCGTTTAATCACTGATCTAAGCACCTTCCAGACAGATGGCAGGCTGGCACGAGGACGGCTCGCCCATATACGTACCATATCATCAAAATAAAAAATTTTAAATTAACTTTAATTGTAATAGACCTAATTACTTTTAAGACATTAATTATCCAATTTGTGGCATATTTAACTGGAGAGAAGTGCATCTCAAAATTGAATTGGTTGGTTAAGCAAAATCCATTAATTTTCCGGTGATTTAATTTTTATCAGCCAATTTTCAAGTGCTTCTCTCAAGCATGTACGTAAACAAGGAAAGCCCAGGGGGCTAAGTCCCTTAATATCTTTAACTCTCTCTAGTCTGAAATTTAATATACTGGGCGTCCACAAATGAAAGAGCTCGTATACAAGTAAACACATTTACAAATGTTACTTTTTAAAATATTTCAATAACATTTGGAGTAAGAGCTCTTTTTGGTAGTAAAATATAAATACAAAGGGTTAAAAAAGTACTATAAGAGTATGCTATTTTTCATATAGGTTCTTCTTTCTAAAAAAACTGTTAAAATTATAGTTAGAATAAGATTTTTATTCATTATTCTCTTGTTTCTTGAGATATTAAGTTGAAACTGCCAGACTTTTAACTTATGTCGACACATTTTTTGTACAATTTGCTCAAAAAATAGTATTTAGCAACTAAATTAGAACGTTATTTCCACAGAACATTCAAATAAACAGCTGTCAAATAACACAATGGCAGCATAATAATGATGGCTCCTTTCAAACAACACAATTTTTCTTTAATTTCCAAGGCCTACTATTGCTATGTTAGCTTCCTTTAGTTCCTGCCTACTACAGATTAATTTTCGTTGTTTTTGCTGATTGTTCTAAAATGGCTACTCCAAAAAATAAATATGACAACGTTTTTTATTTAGAATTTAAAGATTTGTCAAATTATGTTAAAAAAATGCGGTGTTGCCACTTAAAAAAATATTGCTTTAGTAGCTATTGTAGAAATCTGGCAACACCGGAAAGATTTATTTGCAATTTTTTTACAACCTTGCATTTGTAAATAATAGTCGATCACTTCAAATAAAAAAGTTGGCCTGTCAGGTTTTAAAAAAATTACACTGTATTTGTTTAGCTTTGTTTTTTTACACAAAATTTGAAAATAACTGTTGGTTTGTTCTTTTGCGTATACTTTAGACAAATTGAATTATACTAGTGGAAAACTTATAAATACATATGGGGTATTCCATGCCAAATCGAGCACTTAAAACCCTAACCCCATTGAAAACCTCTCCTCAAATTTTTTCACCCAACTCAAAAAAAGTTATAAATTTTTGAAAAATTTGCTCTTTTTTAAATAACCATAACTTTTTCAAAAATTTAGTTATCGGGAAGTTTTTTCCAAAATATTTGTTTTTAAATGTACTTTTTGAAAAAAAATAGATTAAAATTATCTGGACCTATCTTCACTGTTTATTTTTTTCAATTTCCGAAAAAAACGAAAATTTCTCGATTACCAGTTTTCAAGATTTCCTTTTTTTTTGTTCTTATAAAAAATTGACATTTTTTATAATTCCTCAAATTTTTTCAGTGGTGTTTTTTCGTTTTCTATTTTTCTTATTGATTGAATTTTTTTTTTTTAAATTTAGCTTATTTCACATAACACCATTTTG